AAAATAAAATAAACGTTCAAGGCATTTTGTGGAAAAGAGCACATTGAACAATGAGCAACAACAAACCAGTGAAAGTTTCTAAAATCCTGAAAAATAAAAAATATTAAAAAAGAATAAATGCAACAACAAGAATAGATTTATTACAAAATAGATTAAAGAACTGATTTATAGACGAGATTATTTCTCTCAGTCGAGCTGATTTATGGAACTAAAGAAACCTTCAAGGATAAAAAATGATCTTAGGAGCAAATAAAAAGACCAAAATAATAAAAAAGATGTTTTGAAGAACGATTCAGGAGCAATAAAGTTTTATTGTTTGACAAACATATTTTTATTTTTGCTCCTTCTTTTATAAATCTTCCAATAAAAACTAACATTTAAATCACCTTTTGTCTCTTGTTCGTCGATGTGATGTCATGTTGGTGTTTCCAGCATCTAATCCTACGTTTGAAACAATTTCATAAACTCTTGTGTTTAATTTAATTATTAACGTTCACTGACTGAATGCATATCGCCCGCTGCCTCACCCGTCAGAGCTTTAGACTAAAATCCTCATTTGATGAGAAACAACAGATTTTTAGTCGTTCTGGTGGAATTTTATGCCACATTGTGACAACTTGCACAATCTGAGGTGACCAAAGTGTGGCCCGAGGGCCATTTGCGGCCCTTGGAGTGATTTTGTGCGGCCCATCACTTCAGTTGAAGAATGGTCTAAGTTTGACCCACAGCCTGAAGAGGTTGACGCAGATGTCGACCTTCTTTAGATTTAATGGTGATATTTTTTTTAATTCTTAGGTTTAACAGCAAAACAGATTAAAATAATCCTCTCAAAATGAGCAATATTACGTACAATACAAATATTTAGCTATAATTAATCCCTTTAGCCTAACAAACCCATCAACAGTAGAATTTTGGATAATAATTCATAAAACTTGGCTAAATATAGTGATTTCAAATAAAATAATTCCAGTTGATTTAACAATTGATGGGGAGAAATTGGACATTTTTAAAAGAATATAAAGTTGTATCATCGACATACAAGTTGATCAACTTCCTCAGTGTCCCTTCAAACCTTCCATGAATCTGTTTTAGCGACCGCCAGCTGGACGGTTTTTCAGAACTTCGTTTGGGACATCCATGGTCCAAACGGGTGATTGAAGCTCCACCCCCTGTTTTAAAGAACAGTTACTCATTTTAGGCTTTCGTCTCTGAAAATAAACAAAATGAACTTTCCAAGCACAAGAAAAAAACATAATAGACCCCCCAAAAAATATAATAAATTTAATTATTTAAATAAATAAATAAAAGGTTAATGTTTACGAGGCTCCTGTTCTGGATCTTCAGTAATTTAAATTAAACTTTTAGCCTTTCTCCAAAATATTGTTCAAGTTGTTGAGAGTTTAAAAATGAGGGGGGAAATAACACTTTTTAAGTTTAATCTTTTGTTAAATTCACATTTTTCTGGCCCACGAGTCCTTTCATGCAGTCAGTTCTGGCCCACCTATGAAAACGTTGGACCACCCCTGGCTTGGACCACGACTAATGACTCTCAGCTACTACCACACCTTAATGTCTGTCACATGAACTGGTCTAAGGTTACATCACTGTGGTGGCCATCTTGAATTGGTTTGACTCCAAAAGGGAATTTGTTGAACATGTTCACCCAATTATTGCTTTTTGAAAGTTTCATTAAAGTCTGTTCAGTGATTTGTGAGATATTTTGCTAACAGGCAGCAAAATGAACACAGTCAGGTACAAACACAGTTGGCTGCCTTCGCTGTTTGGCAGCAGGTGCTTTGAAAAGTCAAGTTTAAGTCATTCTTGTTGACATATTTTGATAAAAACAGCAGTAAAATCTGTATTTTTTTGTCTTTTTGAAAATCAATTTTAAAATATTTTGGTAGAAAAATTTTAAATTTGTTTTTTTTTATGCTTTTGAACATCAAAAGTGTTTCAGTCTTCTCTCTCAGGCTGTTTTATACACACGGCTCCAGCCTTACTTCCATTACCTCCGACTATAAGAAAAGTAAAATATATTCTAAAGTTTATTTGAAGGCCTGTTTTGATCTTCAGAAGAAAATAAAGAGGTTGATTTATTTCATACTTTGAGCCTTTTCTCAGTGGAAATCTGCCCCTTTTGTGTTTTTTTGTCGTTTTTGTCTGAGAAACGAGAATCAAGTGAGAAAAACTCCAAGCTGGTCTTCAGAAGGCAGCTGGTTAATTTGTCCACCCCACACCGCTCCCCATCACTCCCAGTGGAAACACATCATTAAACCGCCGGCATGAGAAGAAGCAAAGATTACAACAACTAAAAGCCTTTTCATGGGCGCCTCATTATTTTTTAAAGCCAGAAGAAAGACTCGGAAAGTTCTCATCAGGAGCTGCAGCATCAACATGTCCAGCAGGAGACCATCGCTCCATCGCTCCTTTTTATTCCACGACCAAATGAAGGCGGTCAGAGAAACGGGATCAAACACGTCAAAACAGTTTCAAACCTCGGCCCGTGGAACATCCCACCAAGTGTTCGCTCCTGTTTCAGTCGCAGCTAAAAATACTTTGAGCACAGTTTATTCTACAACTTGTACTTTAATTAATAAAACAAGGAACATTTCAAATTGTTATCGTTTACAAATCAAACTAGAGAAGTTGCATTTCCTGTGAAAATGCAGTTTGAAAGCTTGTTGCAGAATAAATTGCTGAAATTAGCTAAAAACATGCTGAAAATGTAGCTGAAATGGAAGAACAAGCCTAAGTTAGCAGAAGAAAGCAGAAACAACACATATTTGCTGAATTGGGTTTAAATAAGCAGAAATTAGCACAAACATTGAGAAATTAACTGAAAAAGCTGAAATTTGCCAAAAATAGCTAAAAGTAGCTGAAATGACAGAAAGAAGCTTAAAGTACCAGAAGGAAGGTGATGGAGCTGAAATGGGTGCCAAGAATGCAAAATTAGCTGAAAACGCTAAATTTAGCATAAAACAGCTAAATAGTAGCTGAAAAGGCAGAAAAAGCTGAAACTATCAGAAATAAGCTGGAAGGAACATAAGCTGAAATTAGTAGAAAGAAGTTATTTAGGCTGAAAGTTTCATAGATTACCACAAAAAAACTGAATGTATCTGAAAACCGCTAAAATTAACTAAAAGGGTAGTCGAAAAGGTAGAACAAGCCTAAATTAGCATAAGAATGCAGGAAAAATGCATGTTTGGCTAATTAGGCTGAAAGAAGCCAAAATGAGCACAAAATAGTGGGAGTTAGCTGAAAAAAAGCTGAAATTAGCAACAAAAACAAAAAGCTGAAAAGTAGTGAAAAAGGCAGAAAGATGCTGAAATTAAAAGAAGGAAGTGTAAAAAGCATTTTGCTGAATTAGCCTGAAAAAAGTTGGAGTGCAAAAAATGAGGAATTAGCTGAAAAAGCTTAATAAGCATAAAACAGCTACATAGTAGCTGAAATAGTAGAAAAAGCTGAAACTAGCAACTGAAAGGAGCATAAAAAGCTGAAATTAGCAGAAAGAAGTTAGAAGAAGCACAAAAAAGTTGTAGTTAGCTGAAAGAATCTGAAAGGAGCACAAAACAGCTAAAAGACTGCTCAACATAGCTAAAAATATCTAAAATTTGCACAAAGAAGCTGAACCAGAACAAAATGAAAGGAGCAGTAAAAGGTTGTAAACACATCTAAAGATGTGAAGGAGGTAAAATGAGCTCAGTTCATTTTCTATGAGAAAAAAATGGTAGAAAAGGCTAAATATTTCAAAAAGCTAAAGTTGCACCAACACCAAAAGTCATGGCAGCATTGTCCTGAGAGCGCTGAATGTTTTGATTTATGACTTGATGAAATAGTTTGAAAACTGCGGGACGAGGATCGCACCGAAAACACACAGAAGAAAAATGGATCACAACCGAGTGAACGCTTCATAAACATTCACACAATTAAAGAAGAAATAAAATAGTTTTGGACAAAGTTCATGTCGCTTTATAAACTAAACTGAGATGAGCTGTGAGATTTTATTAAATTTATTTTCTGTAAAGCACCTTCAGCTGTCTCTCATCACATCCTCGTTAATTGTTTCGGTCTCAAGCGTGTCAGATTTCCCTTCTGGACAGATTGTTTTTATAAAAAATGGTAGTTTTCTCCAAAACTACTGAAAAATCAAAAATAAAAAGATGATTTCTGCTGTGCACTAAATAAAATATGAGTTTGGTGTAAAAGTCTGAATATGAAACCACATTTTATCTCATATTTACTGATAATAATAATAATTATTATTATTATTATCAGTAAATATTTTTATGGTATCTGTTGATTTTATGGTTTTAATGCTTGCTTTGTTTGTATGTGTTAATGTACAGCACTTTGTCCAACAGAGTTGTTTTATAGTGCTTTATAAATAAAGTTGTGTTGTGTAACAGAGTTTTAGACTTAGATCATCTTATATCTGAGCTGTAGCCATTTTCATCAAACACTGAAAGTAACTTTATGCAGTAAATATCTTTAAAACTGGCTGATTTGCCGCTGTTTGCTGTAGCTGCCTATATTAAATTGACTCAAAAAGACAAGCTGTAGACGTAAATCCTACGATTACTTTGTCTGGAAAACGTCTCACGAACCACAAAACTTTTACAGAGTTGACTTTATTAAAGGGCGAAGTTTTAAAACAGAGCGTTCGTGAACAGTTAAATTGTGAGTTGGAAGGACTTTCAGCTCCAACGCTTAATTTTAGCTAATTTTCTGAAAGACTCGTTAAGGTAAAGCCCTTTTTGTGTTTGCTAACTTTCCTTAGCTGTGGCCGCCAACTTGAACTGAATTAACTTCAAAGGATTTTGTTAAATGGCTCAAATTTAAAGTCCAAACATTATATGAACATATTCTTGGGGCAACATTTCATTTCATCATTTCCATTTTATTAATTTATTTTAATCAAATCTAGGTTGAGTGTTAAATGTACTTCAAAGACAGATCCATGAAAAGTACCACTGTGTATCTTTGTGTCTCGCTCCCTGCAGACATCGCCATGGTGAAGAAGAGTTTGCCCAGCTGGGTCCACCAGGACCCTGACGAGGGTCTCGTCCACGTGAACGTTGGGGGTCTGAAGAGAAGCCTCTGTTCCAGCACTCTGAGGAAATTCCCAGATACCCGACTGGGAAAACTGCTGGCGTGTGATTCAGAGGAAGACATTCTGCAGGTGGGGCGGCTGCTTCATGGGATGAGATGATTCAGGCGACAGGAATGTGACGTTCTTCTTGCCCTGCAGGTGTGTGATGACTATGACGTGCAGCAGAAGGAGTTTTATTTTGACAGGAACCCCGGCCTGTTTCCATACGTCCTCCACTTTTACCAGACTGGAAAACTCCATGTGATGGAGGAGCTCTGCGTCTTCTCCTTCAGGTCTGTTTACTGCCCTGTCACAGAGAAAACGCTGAAGAAGTTGGGACTTTGTACACGTTTAAATGTGTAAATTTAAATTAATTTATTTTCAAAGTTTCTTTTTGGAAACTGCAAATGCCATGTCCTCTAAACTAACCAGGGGAGGGACCATCCTGCTTGTTATCGGCGCACGGGTCCAAAGTAGGCTTCTCTGATGGTATAGGGGTGCATTTGTGCCTCTAGCATGAGCAGCTTCCACATTTGGAAAAACACCATCAATTCAGAAAAGTATGTGCAGATTTTAGAACAAAGTGCGCCCATCCAGATGTTTCCTTCTCCATAAGATCAGCAGTACAAGAGTTCTGCAGCAGCTGCCGCCAAAATACTGTGTACTCAGAGTTATACTTTTTGATACTCGGACTTATACTCTTCTATACTCAGACTTATACTCTTCTATACTCAGAGTTATACTCTTCTGTACTCAAGAGTTATACTCTTCTATACTTAAGAGTTATACTCTTTTATACTCAAGAGTTATACTCTTCTATACTCAAGAGATACTCTTCTATACTCAGTTATACTCTTCTATACTCATTTATACTCTTCTATACTCAGTTATACTCTTCTATACTCAGTTATACTCTTCTATACTCAGTTATACTCTTCTATACTCAGTTATACTCTTCTATACTCAGTTATACTCTTCTATACTCATTTATACTCTTCTATACTCAGTTATACTCTTCTATACTCAGTTATACTCTTCTATACTCAGTTATACTATTCTACTCAAAACCAGAAAGCAAATATTTACAATAATTGATTATGCAGGTGATAAAGGTGTGGTCTAAAGTCTCTGCCTTGGACTGAGAGAGAAACGATCAAAGTCTGGCAGTTTTTCTGATTTATTTAATGATTATTTAAATATTTCTATTTGCTTTTTCCCTTCGTAAAGTCAGGAGATAGAGTACTGGGGCATCAACGAGTTCTTCCTGGACACCTGCTGTAGCTACCGCTACCACGACCGTAAGCTTGAGAGCAGCCGACATCGCAGCTGGGACGACGAGAGCGACGTCAGCAGTGTGGACACGTCCGTGGACGAGATCTCTGATTTAAACAAGTCAGACACTCTGCTGCTCTTTGCTGTATGACTAAATTATGAACCTGGCTCCAGAATTCCCCTTTCAGTGTAATCTTTATGCCATCTTCCTCCTCCTCTTCCTCACAGGGACATGCAGCATTTCCAGGAGGTGCGTTACGGGAACGTCAAAAAGTGTTTGTGGCTGACGCTGGAGAACCCGGGGTACTCCATCCCCAGTAAGATGTTCAGCCTGCTCTCCATCGGAGTGGTGATCACGTCCATCGCCACCATGTGCATCAACAGCATCCCAGAATACCAGGTTGTTAGACCAAGGCTCTGACAAGAAGCTGAGTGTAGCATCAAATCTTGCATTGAAAGGAAACGACTCCCATCTTTCTGTAAACAACAACAAGCAGTGCAAAAAGCATCCGACTGTTAAAGACCCTCTCTGCCTGCAACGTGCATTTAGTGTCCAATATTTACTGCTTCCTAAGAGCTGGAGCCACGGCTTAGTTTATAAACCAATCGATGCTGGAACACAAATAGCAGGCGGGCCGGCTGCGGGGGGCTGCGGGGGGAACTGGGGGTCCACCCCCAGAAAATTTGGAATAAAGTAGATGTCATTTCCTGCATTTTGGTGTATTTTAACAGGTTGTTCAACATCTACGTTTACCTACATTTGTAAACACTCTGCTTAGACCCCCCCCCCCCCCCATCCCCCCTTTACTGGACGGTTCTGTGCTGACTCTTTTCTACTGAATTCACTGTCCGACTCCACGTGAAGCCTCCAGGCACCTCTTCAGTCTGTTCATGGCGGCTGCGTGTAGGCACGGGTCGGCACTGAACCGTCAAGTGTTGGGGGGTAGGAGGCTTGACAGAAACCGAGTGTTTACAAATGTAGGTGAACGTAGATGTTTAACAACCCATTAAAATACACCAATATGCAGGAAATCACATCTACTTTATTCCAAATTTTCTGGGGGCGAAACCCCCCACCCCCAACCCAACCCCATCCAGCCGGCCTGCCTGCTATTTGTGTTCCGGCATTGATTGGTTTATAAGTTAAGCCCTGGCTCCAGCTCTTAGGACGCAGTCAACATTTGACACTAAATGCACGCTGCAGGCAGAGAGGGTCTTTAACAGGCAGTTGTTGTTTACATGAAGGTGGGAGTCGATTCCTTGCAATGCAAGGTTTGATGCTGCACTCAGCTACGTGGCTGCCAACGTATGGAAGTCACTCCATATTATACGACTGCCTGTTAGCTTGGCGCTCACAGAAAAGCTTCACTTGAAGACGCAGCTCTTTGTGATATTAAGAAGCTCGTAAGTGGATGTTGTGTTTAAAATGAGTGTTTATGTAATTATTTTCAGTTCATATATCCATTATAAGTTTTATTCGTTCAAGGCAGTCATATTTGTTCATAACATTATTATTAGTACGCCTGAGAGTTACCGGATCCAAGCAAGCAGTTACCGTAACACACCCTGTCAAAATAAGAGTGTTCCCGGATCCTGTTCCGGCAGGATTCGGCTCAAATTAAGCCCTGGATGGGGCTATTAAAGACCAGTTTGACTGATGGTCACCACATCATCAGCAAAGAAAAGTAACATTTACACAGTGTGTTTGGTTTAAATGTATTTTTACAGCGAAAGAAATATGTTCTGTACAAATCTGAACATTTCCTGAAATGTGCAGTTTTACAGAATAAGAAATCTTTTTTTTTTTTTTAAACAGAGTTTTGACTCTGATGGAAAACTGATGGAGGACCCAACCACCCAGGCTCTGGAGGTGTTTTGCACCGGCTGGTTCACCTTTGAGGTGAGGAGATTAACAAGTGCTGTGTACCAGATTACAGAGCTGATTGATGTTAGCAGATTATTTTACATAAAAAAACAACAACTTTATTTTTCAGGTTGTGATGCGGCTGCTGCTCGCTCCAAACAGGAAGAAGTTCTTTCATCACCCTCTCAACATCATCGACATGGTGTCTGTGGTTCCCATCTACATCACCCTGATCTTTGACCTGACTGTGGGGTCTGAGTCTGAGCTGGGGGACCTGGGGCGGCTCATTCAGGTGACTGCTGTGCACTCGCCCACACACCTTAATCTGCAAGACTGTTTGACGACTGAACTTCAGCTGCGTTTTACCATAAATGATTAAAATAATCTTTGTTTTACAAAAACTCTCTGAAGGTCAGTAACGGGATAATTTACAGAACTTAAAAACGGCTTCTGTTGCACTTTTACCTGCTTGTGGGCGCCGACATTACAACTTCAGTTTGAGGAAAACTTACTATTGTTAATTAAAATACACATTTTTAGAACATTAAACAAATGTAAGGTGAAATATTTTCAGACTACTTCTTTCTGCAGTATAAAAGTTTAATTAACAAACAGGACACTTTAAATAAATAAACAAACAAATATTACAACAGTCATACAGAGAACTTTAGGGGTCTCTTCTAGTTTTATTTCAGGAATTGTTATTAACATCTGTTGAACTAAATATATGTTCACTAACTGATGTGTAAGTATTATTTGGTTCTGACAAGAAGCGTCAATATTTAACCTTGTTTTACTGACTATAAATATATATTTTACAAATATAGTTAGTTATGAATGCTGTACAGTAGTCCCTCACTTATCCTGGGGGTTACATTCCACATACCCCCATGATAGGTGAAAATCTGCAAAGTAGCAACCTTATATTTATTTTAGTATATATATATATATATATATATATATATATATATGTGTGTGTGTATAAAGGCTTTATAAACACTTCCCACACTCCTGCAATGTTCTTAACAATGTTCTAAACTCTCAAAACTTTCTAAATGCTCTAAGAGAGTGCAGCAAAAGACTTATGCTGTGGTTACTGGGCCAATTAGTGCCCATGGGCGGACTGGCCATCGGGAGTACCGGGACATTTCCCGGTGGCCTGGCCCGCTCAATGATCACCAAGGGGGACTAAAGGCTTGATTAGGGTCACGCTTTATTATTTTAAATAAACAATCCTTGATGCTCACTCTGGTAACTGCTTCATTGAAGCTCCCATAGGACAGATCCTACCCCGCCCCCTCCTTTCTCTTTCTGAGGCTGTATGTCACAGGTTGCGTGCCTGCCTGTTGTGTATCTTTGCTCTGCTGTGATAGACAGACTCAGTAAGAGTAAAGAAAGGGGGCCCTCGGAGACCACTGAGCGGGCCAGGCCACCGGGAAATGTCCCAGTGCTCCCTATGGCCAGTCCGTCCCTCAGCACAATGGGCCTTCTGTCAATTAACCAATTGTGCATTGCGTACAATCTTACATTGAAAATCCGCGAAAGAGTGAGTCTGCAAAAGTCGAACCACGAAGTATCGAGGGACTACTGTATACTAAACAAGACTTTGTTAAATTTCTGATAAGAGAAATGGTAAATGGACTGTTTCAAGACACTCAAAGTTCTTTATAGCACAATCTGTGCCCTCATTTACCCATTCATACACTGTATTATATTTTATTTATTTATTTATTTAGCCTTTATTTATCCAGGTTAGTCTCATTGAGCCACGAGAACTCATTTTCAAGAGAGACCTGTTTTTTTTTTAGGGAGCACATAGTGGGGGTTAAGGGCCTTGCTCATGGGCCCAGAGTGGGGCGAATGAGGGTGGGGGCAAGTGTGGGTGTTTCACCTACCCCACCCACAATTTTGATGTTGTCGGGGCCGGGGCGTGAACCGGCGATCTTCGGATCACAAGCCCGCCTCTCTAACCTCTGCGCCACCACTCCCCTATATAACAAATCATTCCAAAGAGACTAATCAGTACTTTATCACATTCTACATAGATGGGACACACATCAGAGACAATGAGGGGGTCAGTGTCTTGCCCAGGGACACTTCGACATGTGACTGCTGGTGGATTTGAACTCCCAACTCTTGCATTGGAGGACAACTTCTCTAACCACTCAGCCACAGTCGCCCCTGTAAACCAGAAACCAGTTAACACAGAATAAGTCCTGTGATTTAATAAGGTTGAGTCAGGTCCTCTGACTGAAAGTAGCCATCAGGGCACTAACGGTCAGTCGTTAGGCTGATGGTCCTCCTTTTTACCTGTGAACAACTAGTTCTGGACGTCACCAGCAAACTGGTTGGTCCACTATGAGAAGGTGTTGCTTATAAGACTGAGTTTGTTGCAGCTCCACAGACTAAAGAAGTCTTTTGGATAAAAGACAAATGGTTCAACAAGAAGAACCCATCCAGATGACCGGACTCGACCTGGTTAGATTTATCTACCTGGATTATTGCGCGTGCATCAGGACTAGTCCTGTGATCATGAAAAACTATTTTCTAAATCTTTTGTTTTGCTAAATTTCTTGCCATAAATGTAGATTTCTGCATGTTACAATTAGTTCTTAAACCAGATTTTAAACTTTTAGAAACTGGACTGTAGCTCTGCAAAGCTTGCTATCAGCCTCCAGAGTTAATTAAATAAATCACTTTGAAGATTTACTCAAAGCAGCACCCAGGTAGAAAATGTTACAGTTTCTAATTCAGAGGCCACGTGTTCTCTCATTACTGCTCATCACCACATACTCACTGAGACTCACCTCCTCGTCCTCTCAGGTGTTCAGGTTAATGAGGATCTTCAGAGTTTTGAAGTTGGCTCGACATTCTACGGGGCTGCGTTCACTGGGAGCAACACTCCGGGTGAGTCAGGACTCCACAGACGGACTTGTCTAATGATCAGTGCCGCAGAGCTTTAGTTTCTGTTCATGCGTCTGCTCACAGGTTGGTTAAACCAGTTCAAGGACTGGCTTACTAAAGGTATACTGTAGCTTCATCCATCCATTCATGTTGATACCCCCCTGATCCTGTGCTGGTCTTGGGGAGCTGGTGCTTTTCTCCAGCAGTCCAGCAGGTGAAAGGTGAGGGACACCTAGGACAGGTAGACCATCACAGTCCGCATGGAGACAACCATTCATGCTCTGCCACACCTAGAGTCACTTAACCTAGGAAGGAGACCAGACTGCACCCCACGCATAAACAAGGAGAACATGCAAACTCAAGCCTGCAATGAGGCGACAGCACAAACCACTGCCCCACCGTGCCGCCTGAGTAAAACGTCACGTTTTCACATGCGATTGCTACCAGTGACGTTCAGTGTTTTTCTGTAGCTGGTTTAAGATGGGCGCTTATGTCATGTTTGAGCGTGCTTGTTCAGTTTTACAATGTTTGAGGTGTATAAAAGAGAACCACGCGCGTGCACAGCCCGTGCACACATGGTTTTAATCATCACAGAAATGTTGTCTGCACCCGACCCCAGATGTGTACGGAGTTGGTAAACACACATTTTTAATTAAAAGGGGTTTCTTTGATAGTTACCAACACAAAGGATTATTTCTTGTAAAATGCTACAAGAATAATGAGGTTTGATAAACAGAAAACTGAAACAAGTTTTAACTCTGTGACATAATGATTATATGAGGCCACTGTTTATATTTTCAGTCGTATTCTTCATATTAATCTATTAACTGCAGCGGGAAAGATTCATTTCTGCAAGTTTGAACTCTTATTGGCTTGAAAGTGTGTAATTTACCATAAATTAGAAAAAAAAACATTTTGATCATTAAATAGATTGATCATTAAAAATAAAATCTGTCACCACAATCTGCAACCGCCCTGCTCCTCCCGGTTCTTTAAACATCTGCAGCTCAGGTTACGGTCCTCCTCATTGATGAAGAGATTTATCTTTGCAGAAATCATTGAACACCGTCTGAACTGTGCACGGAGCAGTTTTTATTTAGAAAGTTGCAGATTTACTGGATTTTGATGCGTTATTTATATTTGAAGCACTTTAATAAATGCTCTGACCTTTGACCTGCATCAGCAGTGCACCATTATATTCAGACTCTTTCCTGCACAACTAGTGTACAAAATCTGAATTCAAGAACTTTAGATCTGGCTTGAATTTGAAACTTTGTGATACAATTTCTAATTAAATGCCTGCTTTTGAATGTGTTGACACGAAACTAAAAGTTGATTTTATTTCCACATTTCTGAACCCAGAGGGACTGAAAGTGACAATCTAGTTAAAGATTTAGCCTCTTAGCTCTGAAATAGTTGAACTTTTCCTCTTACAGACAGAAAAAAGAAACCGCTGTTAAACAGGGTGCATCAAAGTCGTGCACGAGTCTGGGCTGGATGTTATTTTTAGTTGACTAAATTGACCGAGGATGCTTTATTTCTTCTTTGTCCTTAGAGAGTCCCCGGAGAGAGGCTGGATTACAGGACGCTTCGACCAAAGTCTCAGCCCTCCTCTCCTCTTTAAATAGTGGCTCCCACCATCTTTGTCCGTGTTGCACAACAAGAAAAGTGCCTCTTTTTCTATTTTTATGGACTTTGCGCTCCCACAAACCAGCTCCCAGTGTGCTGTTCACTCCTACATATATGAAAAGTCACACGGCTTCCATGCTCAGATGAACGTTTAAGCTGAACAACACAATATTTGACGTGTAATTATCAGATAAAACAGGCAAACCAGCAGATCTATCTTCAGACAAGCCAAAAACATTTTTTGCATGTACATCTTTTCTTCAACCAGTGATGGATTCTAACAGTTCCTCGTGTCGTCTCTGCAGCACAGTTACCGTGAAGTCGGCATTCTGCTGCTCTACCTGGGTGTGGGCGTGTCCGTCTTCTCTGGGATCGCGTACACGGCTGAATGTGACGAGGTAAAGATGTTCCACAGCGACGACTCTGAACCAGAGTCTGCTACAACTCACTTCAGATCAGCAGGATCGCTCTTTTGTTGAGCAAAGATCCAACAGAGGGAATGCGTATCGCTCTTCATCTTCATCATCTGTTTGAGCTCAGAGCATGTGTTGTAAATAACTGTCAGCTACTACCACACCAAATTATAGCTCATTATCTGTAAAATGATCTGAAGTAGACTGTAGGCTAAGGCTGTGGCAGCCATCTTGAATTGGGTTAACCAGATGTAGATGTGCAGTCGGTTATTACTTTGAGTATTCCATCGGATATTTTGCTAACATAACACCAAGTCGAGGTGAAAACATTGTCACCTCTCACCTTCAGTAGCAGACACCAATTAAACATACATCAACCACTGGTTTTAGCCACATGTCAATGTCAATTTATTTCAATTACACATTAAAAACCTCAGTTTACTAATTGGTTTTTCTATGTGAATGTTCCTGTAAAGTGTCCTGAGACAACTTTGTTGTGATTTGGCGCTATATAAATAAATTGAATTGAAAAATTGAATTGAATAATAAGAACAAAAGCTGACCAAAGTGTTTTTTAAGTCAAATAAAAAAATAATATACATCTTGTGCCACTCAGAAAACATAAAAAAATGTTCACAATAAAACACAAGAAAAATCAGCTCTGACTGGTTCTCGTGGATCAAACGCCAAGAGATGAGTCTTGAGCAAACATTTTAAAGTCTCAACAGTCTCAGCGGTTTTTAAATGATCAGATAAACTGTTCCGCAGTTTTGGAGCAGCAACCGCTGGACTTCAGTTTGGATATGGGGACTTCTAGGAGGCACTGGTTGGTAGACCGGAGTGCTCTTACTGGACTGTAGCTGTTAAGAAGATCACATAAATAAGACGGGGCCCGACCTTTTAAGACTTTAAAAACAAGCAATAAAATCTTAAAATCAATCCTGGACAGGAAGCCAGTGGAGAGAAGCCAGGACGGGGGTTGTGTGTTTGTGTTTTCTAGTTGCTGTTGTAGTGAGTCACGTGGGTACGTGTCACTTGTTGTATGACAAATAT